ATTTATAAAATTTTCAAAAAACAATTATAGCAAATATTTGACATGCCATGACCTTTGCTACCCATACAGCAGAAGGTGATGGCATAAGATGATGTCCTTCAAGACTGCATCAATTAATGTAAGTGAGGACACGAGATCCAACTTTTTAGGCAAAAAAAGTTGTCAGGTTGCCTATGTGCTTGCCTAAAGGTGCAACTTGCCTAAACTTTCTAGGCAAGCGCAAGGTGCAATCTAACCAAATTTAGATTAACCTAAGTACTCTAAAGAACCATTAAGACAATCTTTTCTCTCTAGCTGAAAGTCTCATTCTACATACCATCACCTCCTGTGATGTTCCTCTCCTTTCATTGCTCTCTGTAGTGCTCAAAATTGAAAGCCTGGAGAATCAGGACTGATCCCTTGTACAGGAAAAGTTGTGCCACTAGAAAGAAACACATGGAAACAAGACTTCAAAAAGTTTCAAATTGGAGACTTTGGTTCGGACTTTCAACTCAGCACAAAGCTTAGTGGTTCTAATTTCCAGTTAGAAATGGAATCTGGAAAGCTTTGTAATACAATTATATATTATAGATAAATATTTACTTATTTTTTAAGCGATTCCAAGAGTTTCTCTGGGGAATGACATTGTATTTCTTGCATGTAAAAGCAGCTAACGTGGAATCACTGCTGATTGGAAGATGGATGAAGAGGGAAAACTAGTTGGAGCACATTGAAATGAAGTACATTGGAGCTGGAGTACATTTGAATGCACCAAAGAAGAAAGAAAGGGCCACCTGTTTTCCAAAACAGCTCCTGAGTTACACTGGACTTAATCTGAGGAAATCAAGTCAAGGAACTGAAATGCATGAGTTGAGGTCAGCTGAAACGATGCAGCTTGAACAAGCTGGAGAAGAAACCCAAAATCTCTTGCTTGAATCCTGGACTCCTTTGACTCACAGCAATCAGTCAAATGGTTTCTTTTGATTAAGAGCTATTGCCATGCTCTTCTGGACACGCTGACTGCAGCCCTCAAGGAGAAAAGGAGAATTAAAATGACAGCCACCTCTAAACGGAGAGCCACTAACATTTTGGGATCTTCTAACACATCCTTCCACCCACAAACGCCTATTTAAATTTGTTCACACACTGAATTTCAACAGATATCTGCTCCAACTAACATAGGCTTCAAGGACTTTTTTGTTTCCTTTTCCCCCCTTCTTTGATGATCTAAACTGATCAGGCTATGAAAACAAACAAACAAACAAACAAAAAGCAGGAAACAAGACAAATTTTACAGGTGTATTTGTATTTTCCTGTATCTTGAAGGTCTGAAAAGGTATTTAAAAGAGGATTCTGAATAAGTACCTATGCAGAACAATCTCCAGGGACCCTAAATTACTCCACGGCAGGCGCACCAGCTCTAAGCTGCTCCTCTCCTTTCTGTAACTTGCCACTTTCTGAGCTCCCTTCCCCTCTGCTTCCTGAAGCTCGCTGCCTCCTGCACTGGGCAGTGTGTTAGAAGAACCAATCTGGAGGGAAGAAATAAGATATTCCAGATGAGGACCACATTTCTCCATAGTGCTCTACAGGAATTTTAGCAAGACACATTACTTTGCTGAATATCAGGCAATGCTATAGCCAGATAAAAACGTTTTTCAAGTGGTACGGTGCTTTCTGCCATAGAGGAAAGATGCGCCAGACTGATAGAGCAAAAGCCTAATCAAATGAATTGACAACTCCAGGTACCCCAAGCAAACTGGGTGAACAGGTTAAAGATACTTGTTTAACATTAACTCGCAGTTTAAGCACCAGGCTTATGCACCAGATCTATAAGGTAGCAACTAGTCTCTGAAAGCATCAGGAGTCAGCTGGTGCTTTTCTGTGGTGCTAATTATTTGCCTAATTATTTGCTTTTCCAAAGAAAAAAGAAATGCATGGGTGGAAGGGATGCAAAAAATCCCCACTTGGCCAGTTTCATGTCCTGAACAGCCTTCTGCTGGTTGCTCATCCTGCGCTGACTTGCCCAACATACAGGAAAACCAAGGAATCTTCTCTTTCAGTAAAGCTCATCTCTGCTTCAGGGTTGCTTCAGAGGTACGTCTGGATCTACAGCAGCATCCACCTCAAACCAGTGGTTCACCAGAGCTCTCTGCTGCTCTCTCTGCTCGGGAGCAGCACTGCCAGAGGGGACAAGAGACCCATAACTCCACCGTAAGTCAGTAAAGATGGAGGAGGCATCACCAAAACCATGAAGTTCTCCAGGCTAAAGGATACCTGCTGTGCAGCCAGAACAGGAGTTAGCCAAAGGGATCAAATGTGTCAAACCAAAGGGGTTACCTGGAGGCTAAGGAGAGGCTGGTTTCTCTGCCAGTCACACGGCATGTGACACACACCTGCTTGGCCACGTGCTTCAAGTGACTCAGGTCTGCCTGACTTCTGAGATGTCCTACACACAGGGCCTGGAATACAGCTGAAGAAAATGACTTTGCCCTCACAGAAAACCAAAGGTCTCTGTGCTCGGTTTCTGCCCCTACAGAATTTGTATTAAATACCACCCGTGTGCTCTGCTGTCTCGCAGCCCAGCACTTCCCCTCCCTCCTCGCAGTGCAGCAGAGCCCAGCTGCCACCCCAGGGCAGAGGGACAGGGACAACCACAGCCCACAGAGTTTTCAAGCCAGGGGACCATGTCTCTAGCAGAGATGAAAGCAGAATCCTTGAGTGCACAGGACCAACTGGTATTTTCTTAGGTTCACAGAGACAACGTCCTCATTCTCCAGTGCTACTCTGAGCAAATCCTAGCTCGTGCTCTGGTACTGAGTGTGCTCAAAGAAAACAGGATAGACCCAGAACATTTCAGAGACGCCCGGCCCCACGTGCCCCTCAGTCATCGGGATACTTTGGCTGAAGTCCAGAACAAACGATGAATAACTGTAAGAAAACACTGAAGGTACAAAACCCTTTGTTTTTAATTTCTTTTTAGGAACCAAATTAATACAGTTCCTCTGTTACCTTTTTCTCCCTCAGAGGGAACGGAGAGAAATTGCATTCGGAAATCCAGGGGGTCGAGCTGTGCAACTCTTCCTCCTGAATCCCCACATAAATAAACATTCATTCATATTCAGAATTTTTCTATTAAAAAAAAAAAAACACCATTCTGCCTTTTTCTTTATGCTTGGTACCATGTTTCTTTAATGCTGCTGTTGTGAGATACTGCACCCATCTTTCAGCATTTGATTGCCTTAGGTGGCCCTTTTAAATGGTCCTACATTTCAAAGCTCTGAGAAGCTGAGTATTAAGGCATAAAAAAATCAGGAGTTTTCCTTCCAGGGAGCAGACTGTATCTGTGTTACATTCCTTTAGATGCTGAACTGCAAATCCCATCCCCTTGGAGCCCAAAGGGGAAAAGACAGTTTAAAAAAACATCCAGCAGTCTTACAATCAGTTGTCTGTATATTTTTTTGAATCTTAAAAAAAAAGAGGAAAAATATCCCATAGGTAAAGACAGAACAGAGTTCCAGATATGGGTTCTTGGGAGGAGTTTTTCATTCTTTTTGGCACCTTGTGATTATAACAGCTGTTGACCTCCCATTTTAAAAAAATCTGGCTTTAAAAAGAGCGTTTTATTCTCTATGTTTCGAGCTGTTACAGCTGTGCCTTGTTTTCTCTGAAAGCTGCTTTAGGGGCTGCTGCCATCCCATGCCCACCCCGCACCATGCCAGCTCTTCCCACCGGTTCTTCATTCAGTGGTTGCCTGTCCTTGTGGCATTGCAGATGTGATGACACCAGTTTGGGCAGGGACTGCTCCGCTGGGCTCTTCTATCCGCGCTCTTTTGACTTCGGGTTCACTGGCCGAGGCTGCTGCTGGCTCTTCGGTCCCCGTCTCGCACACCCGGCCGACTACAACAGGAGTGGACGAGCTGGCCTGTGCTGCAAGAAGCTGCAGTGGGTTTGTGAGAGCTGGGAAGTGGGGAAGAAAAAGAGAGAAAAGTGCATGAACATACAAAGTAATGCAAACGCTCCCCATTCCAGAAAACAAGCAAACAAAACCATAGTCCGAGGTGATAACCAGCACATATTCACATATTTTGTTTTCAAACCCATTCAAGGCTTTCTCTGCTGAGAAATTTCGGCTTTGTACAAGTTCACCAAACTGGCAAGACCCCTTTTGTGGGAGGGCTTCCTTCTTTCCATCCATTGCCAAAGCGGCACTGCCAGCTACGCATTCATCTCCACTGGGGCAGGATCAATCCTTTGCTAAAGTTAACAGGACAATTTTCCTTCAGGAGATCATTCTCTGACCACCTAAAAATTCAAACCTCTTGCAAGCTACAACACGTGTGTGCTGCACCTTAGAGGAACCCTCTTAGCCTCTCTGAGGCTGCCAGCAGGATGACCAACAGGCAGAGCCTGCACTGTAAGAAGTCTGCTGAGAAACCAGATTCCAGGCTGAATGTTGGCTATATTGACCTCTCACTTCTCAAAGGAAGGTTTAACAACTTTTCCTTTGTCTGGCCTAAGCGTTCCCATCAGAACTGGGATTGGAACTTCGGAATTTTTGGCTTCTATCTTGTATTCCAGTCCTGACAAAAGCTCTCACCCTCCCGTTAATAAGAGTGGTGAGAAAAGACGACGTTTTGAGCAGTAACCCTGCCTAAAAATGTCTACGACTCCCAGTTCCAGACGGAGAATGTGCTTACACGCTGGCTCTGGCACACAGCACTACTTGGAAAACAAAACACATGCAGTTTTTGGACTCTGCATCAATAGGAGAGGCAGCCAAAGGGGACCCGGGAGACGGCACATCCTCTGCCCTCCAGACTGACTTGCAAGGGACGGAATGACACAACATCGATGGTGTGTTTGCTGTTAAGTGCATCAAAAAAGGAGCCCTAGGATAAATAAACAAAGAAAACGGAACAAAGGCCTTCAAAGCCCAGCAACATCCACCAAGGCATGGGAAGGAGCCTCTACAGTATCAAGAGGATGAAGTTAAAGAAACAGGGCATGGATGAGGACAGTCACCAGCTACAATTCAGCAACTGGCAGCAAACCCAAATCAAACAGCTGAAGAGATGTTAACTCCACACAGCCAAAAAATAACTAGTATGGGGTTTTAAGAAAGGCATCACAAATGACTACGACACGACTACGATACATTCTCTATATAAACAATCCTCCATTTGTTCACCTAGCTGATAAAGAAGGTCTGATTCCTCTCAAACTCTAAGCCCGTATGATGGGAAAGTGCAAGTCCTTTTCTTAATGCTCCACAGGGTCAGACTTCATGCTACGTAAAGAGCACCAAGGAAATCTTGTTATTAGGCATACTGAAAGCTAAGGCTGTTCGTCAGAGGAAAACAAAAATGGGCTCAATGCAGGAAACACTAACGCTTTCAGCAAGTAAGCCTCAAAAGGCAGAGAGGGTAAGGAGCAACACCCAAGGACCCAAAAAGAGACAGGATGCTTCCAAAGCAGCGCTGCAGATGGAAAACTTCTCCATTAAGAAAAACCGAGCAAACAAACGTGAACAGGGGTCAACTTTTAATTTGTTATGCTATCTACTGCTGCCATTAACAGCCACAGAGGTCGCAGAGTGCGTAACCTCGGAGCCAGACACACACGCAGCAACTTGCACAGCTGAAAAGGACAAACACAAACTTTCAGAATATTTCAGAATATTTAAGGTTGGAAGGGACCTCTACAGATCACCTAGTCCAACCTTCCTGCTCAAGCAGGCACACCTACAGCATGTGGCACAGGGTGGCATCCAGGCGGGTTTTGAAGACCTCCAGAGTAGGAGACTCCACAACCTCCCTGGGCAGCCTGTTCCACTGCTCTGTTACCCTAACAGTAAAGAAGTTGCTCCTCACCTGGAGACGGAACTTCTTGTGTTTCAGCTTGTGGCCATTACCCCTCGTCCTGTCGCTGGCCACCAGTGAAAACAGCCTGTCCCCTTCCTCCCTGCATTCTCCCTTCCTGAACTTATACATATTAATCATATCCCCTCTGAGCCGTCTCTTCTCCAAACTTTACACCTTAACTGCAATGCACGGGGAGCAGGTAAAGCAGGAAGCGATGGAAACGCATCGTACCGTAAGTACTGCCGGCGATGCTGTTGGTGGGCACGGCGTGTTTCCCGTTCTGGGTGACCGCTCGCACGGGCAGCTGATGCTGCCCGATGGTCACTGGAGCTGCCTGCTGAAGGATGGTGACCGTCTGTCCTGGAATGGCCTGTGCCATTTGGCTGGCGACCGTCTGAATCACGCGGCTGGCCGTGGGTATCGTGGCAAACGCAATCGTTGGTTTTTCATCCATGCCTACTGGAGGAGAAAACAAGACATTCACCACGGGGCTGGTTTGGGAGCACTCTCTTCTCATGAACGTTTCAGTAATAGCATATACAGGCTTATGAACATGAGAATCCCTCAGCCCCACAGAGTCCCCTGCCTTTGCTGTGTCCCACAAAGTTTATTTGAGACTGCTTAGTCACAGGAGCAACATGTTTGGGCTCCAAGATGCTGAGGGTGTTTCTAGAGACCTAATCCTGTGAAAAATGTCTCTTTAGGCACAATGAGGCTCCACACACACGTTCTGTGGGCTGATTTATACAGCGTGGTCAGCCCTGAGGAGGCAAAAGTCCATTCTCCCTGCTCGTCCTGGGAAGAACGCTGCACATAGGGAAGGAAAGAATCACAGCAAGAAAGAGCAAGTGAAAGAGAGGAGCAGATGACGAATAGGCAGCTGCTGTTGATGCTTCGGGAACACGGACAGGATCCGAACAGGAATTTCTGGAGAATGCAAGTGTAATTCAAGCAGGATAACCTGTGCTAAAAATGCCCATGATTGCGCTATTCCTGTATGGAAAGGTCTTTTAATTCCTACATTCCCTTAGAGAAGAACCATTGCCACTGCCCACATGAAAGCAGTAGCTAGTCTTGCTGTACTGCTGGGGCAACATATGCATCTGTCTTGTAGCACTGTGCCATTCTGAAACATCCAGCAGACAATGTGTTGTCTGGATGACATGAAGATAAAGTATTTTTTATAGTTCAGCTCAATAAATCCCCCAGGCTGGAATTTCCAGCTTAGGAAAAAAGGGGCCTTTGTTGTTACTGGCTTTTGAAGATTTCTCTAATGGGGCACAGCCTGCGCTTTCAGCAGCACACCCTTTCCCCCTAGGAAACCAGGCCCATGGAAGCTGTTTATTGCCATGGTTATCCCAAAGCGGGGAGCTGCAGCTCTTCCCAGGCCATCTCTGCTGGCCAGGTACGTGCACACTTTCACAGTGTACCCAAAAGACCAAATCACAGACAGAATACGAGCAAGTGGGTTAATATTTGTATCTGAAGCACTGCTTGTTGTTTCAGCCTTTAACAAGATTTGAGCGTCCTCATTCATAGGGGACAAAGGAGCACATTTTCTTCCTGGTTCTTCATGGAAAGATTAACTGGTTGAGCTCTTCCTTGGTTTACTTTTCACCTGGAGACACCTTTTACCAAGGACTAACCACCCAGTGAGTGAAACTGCCGTTTGACCTTCCCATCCTCCCCTACGGCCCGTTCAAACTACACCAGTCAAGTAGCAAGGGCGTCGAAAAGCTACCTCGGGGGTCACCAGCTAAGTCCAACACTGCTCCCGCAGCTTCATGGGCTCCTCCTGCTGTGCCCTGATTCGTGAGGATGTATCCGTTGGCAGAGTTTGCCGAGGAGGTCACAACCCGGACCATTGTAACAGTGGGAGCTTGTTGAACTACGTGAATTGCGTGACACGAAGGCTGTTGAGAAGTCACTATCGATGCTGGCATGTAGGCGACAGGCTTTGCCACCAGAGCTGACGGCCGGGGGGGAACGGCCATAATCACTGGCTGGGCACTGACTGGAGATCCTAAAATGCAAGAGAGGAACGTTAGTGGGAGGGACAATAAGGCCTCCACTCTTCTCCACTTATAACTATGTGGACCCATTGGTCATACTCAGTGCTGTGGCACTGGCAAGAGGTGCCAAAAGTGCTACCTTCAATCTCACATTTCCTAACTTACCAAAAAAGCCCACAAGCAAACAACCCCTCCCATAACCTTGCAGTCTAAACACATTTTTTAAACAATACAATATGCACAAAAATATGAGCTTTTACCTAGTGAGTTTTGCCTTCCACTTGCAATGGGAGGCTCCTATGAACAAGTTTGGTTACAGGACAGCTGACAAGCAGACACAGTCACCAGATGTAACAAATTACCAAGGTCCCGACCACAGCACCATGGAGCTCTGGGCAGACAAGTTGATTTTATCACAAAATCCAAGAAACCAGAGTGAGCTGCTATGTTCTGTCGTGGCTAATCTTCTGTTTGCTCCCCAAATCCACCTAGTTTAAGGCAAACTCATGTTCTAGACATTCCTTCATCTCCTCTCCCATGCCCAAATACTAGCAAAGAAGAAAGTGCCATCCGTCTTCAACAATAAAGTGGAAGAGGTGAGACTGACATCCGTAATGAATGGGCTGGCCTGTAAATACTCAGAACTGCACTCGTGGAATGAAACCCTTCTCTGTGCAATGAGAACTACTCACCAGGTGCACTCTGTGAATACCGATACTCTGGAACCGAAGCTAACTTTGACCCAAAGTCGTGATCGTGTGGAATGGGCGAGCCCTCCCGCGACAGGCACTCTGGAGTCTGGAGGCCACTAGAGTGAGGGGACAGCAGGCCAGGGTGAGTAGGGGAGGCTGGAGCGCTCCTGCAACACCAAAGCATATTGTTGGCAAGTGTAGATGCTTTCTGACCACAAGACAGCAGCAGAGAGCAAGTTATCCCCAGTACAGGATCCTGTGAGTAAGAAGACAGCCATTTTTCTGCATTTCCCACTACAGCGTTATCAGGAGGAGCTGGAAGGTACAGAATAACCTTGTATGCACCCGCGTTATTCACTGCTGAAAGAAACTGGACCCTTCAGAGCACACTTAAAGTTTCAGATTTCCACCACGGATAGAGAATCTGAAAGTGTCTCATGTTTGGATTTTAAAATTTCAGGCAACTCTCAAAAGAATCTTTTTCTGTGTTGGGAGTGCTGGGGGGAGAGGGGAAGAAGATCCAAGTGCATACAAGTGTCCAGCCCCACACACGTGTACCAAGTTTCTCCCTCCTGCAACTTGGTTCCTACCATTAGATGATGAATCCAGCACTTCCTTAAGGACAAACAAGGCTGAGGAAGGGGTCTGCTGAGGAGATCTCTCCTCCTTTGTCCAGTTTTCAAGCGGACAGAAAGGAAGGGAGGTGTGGGAGGAGGGATAGCTCAAACAGCTCCAGCTGGGGTTTGACTGCAAGTCCCAAATCCCAGCAACAGGGCACGGAGGAAGTCACTGATCCTCTTTCATTGAGGTCCCAAGGATGGCAGCGGCTGCACAGAACCCCCCACTGCTTTACCGTGCACAGCCACAACGAACACGATGCTCCCCATCAGACAGTGTCTCGAATACCACAACATACATTTCCACTGTGATCTCAGCCACATCTAAGCCCAGCTTTCCTGAAATGAAAGACTGGCATCCCAAAATATTTTCTCTACTGATAACTGTTCTGAACTTCTTTGAAATTATGCCCAAACAGATACACTGGTTGGTGTGTTATGGCCGTTTGGTTCCACAGTGTATCTTTCTTAAAGCTTCAGAAGTCAGAAGTCAGCTTTCCGATTACGCCTCAGGGCTATCCAACTGTATTACCAGTCAAAACTAAAAACAGAAGTCAAGTTTGTTCACTGCACTTCGGCAGAGTTTCTGTTTGTTTTCTTTGCTATGAATTTGGCAGAGAGATGAGAAGAAGCTGAAGTTACCTGGAGGAGAGAGGCCCAAAAGGTGTTCGGAAGCAGGACACTCCTCTTTGCCTTCGTTTTCTGAACGCCTGCTCTACCAGTTTGGCTTCAGAGGCAGGGTCAATTCGCCAGAAGGAGCCTTTTCCCGGCTCCTCCTGAGAGCGTGGGACTTTAATGAAGTAGCGGTTCAAGGAGAGGTTGTGTCGAATGGAATTCTGCGGGAAGCAGAGGAATCAAGTGATTATTTTGCCACGAGAAAGCATATAACATACAGGATTCTCCACACAGATGGAAAGAATAAAATGCTGCCTGCCAGAATCTGCACTGAAGAGGGAAGCAAGTCGCTCACCCAGCTCCAAAGTCACAGGGGAGCTGCAAGAGGAAACCTAGAGAAATCAGTTGGACACAGAGTTTCTGCTAACTGTGCACGGAGATGTGTCTGCTTGGCACCTGTATGATCACTTGGATCTAGCTCTGGAGCCAGGGAGCAGCTACACTGTGAGAAAACAGAGGAAAATCTCCTGCTGATGCAGGGGGAAAGAAGTGGAAACCATGTCAAAACTCACTCAAAAGACAAATCTTATTCTGGGCTAACTGCTCACCTGCCAAGCCATCAGCGGGGTGCCTCAACATGCCCTGAAGGACACTGCATCTCATGGCAATCCTAATGCAAGCTGCCTACAAGCCTTCGGACAGCTATGTCTGAAAGGAATCCATTATTGATGTGGCACCAGCCTAGCACTGTACAGCTCTGGAGATGTGGATAGGACTAATTAGCCTTTTCATTGCAAAAACCCATCTCTGACCGGGTGTCATGCTGGCTGCTGGGCCAGGCAGAAGGCCCAGGTGTGCATAAACTCATTGTGTCTTCCACTTTCAACATAAAACAAGGGCTTTTGTAGCAGCTTTTGACAACAGAAGCTCTTTACAGAGCCTTGCAATGCTAAAAGGTAAGGGAAAAAAAAGAAAAAAGAAAAAGGAAAAAAGGCCCCTTCTCCCTGCACTGGAAGGCAGCTGGCTTTGAAGCAGGATGCAGCGACTGGTTTGCAAAGCGGCTCTGCCGAGCAGGTTAAGGCAGGAAGCAAATTCCACAGCTAATTAGAACTGCAGGGAAAAGGCAGGAAGGCAGCAGGTATTTATTCCAAGTGCACTCCACGTGCACAGAGCCATCCTGCTCCTGCCAGCTGCACACAATAAACTCAGTGGGTCTGAGAGGCTTTCCAGCTGCACGGGGGTGTGATATCCAAAGGACAACACCCAGTCCAGAGGGGCAGTGCTGGCATGGGGGTGCAGGAGGCCGCCTGTGTCACCTGCCTCCCAGCTCTCCTACGAAAACGGTCAGGTCTCCTTTAGCACCACAAGGAAGGCAGAGACTGAGGCTCCCCAGGTCCCTGCTCTGAGACTCCTGCATTGCAAGCTGCTATTTAGGCACAATGATGTGCTGGGGGAAAGAAAAAACTGTGATGATTTAAGGAGTTGTGATTAAAACCTGGGCCACCAGCTGCAGGCTGGGCATCTTTTGTTTGGACAGATGTCTCCAAAGAGAGACACAAAATATGATGGATTAAGCAAGATTCAAGTAACAGTCTCCAAGCAGCGGAGTGACTGCTGATAGCAAGGACAGGAAGGAACAGTAAACAAACAAAAATCAATGAGGGATGGCTGCACACTTGACAGAAGACAGGGCAGGGAGATAACAGGGTTCCAAAAACAACCAGAGGGCCCAACCGTAACACCCAACACAGCCCAAGAACAACCTTCCAAAAACGAATCACCCACAAGCAAACTAGTTAGCTTACGTTAAACAAATTCACCCTGGGAATAGTCAAAGCAGTTCTATTCCCAGTGCCCCAAATCTTTTATTAAATATATTTGGTGGAAGATAAGCCCTGACAAAGTAGTCTAAAAGCTCGTCAGCCTCAGGAACTCACCTGCCAGCCTTTGTCAGCAGTCCTGTAATACGGATAATGCTTGGTAATGTGGGCATAGATCCCACTTAGTGTTAACTGTCTGTCCTGTGCTGAAGATATAGCCTGCACAATTAGCTGAGCGTAAGAGTACGGTGGTTTGGACTCATCCTAGAAGAAGACAGACACAAAAATGTAGTTACCACATCAGAATTCCTAGGCTGGAGCTCACTGCCAAGCCTGATGAAAGCAAGCACATTCAGCTGTATTTCATAGGCACTCGCAGAGCAGAAGGATGGCAGCTAAAAGCAATACCATCCTCTTCCCCTTCCCTCCTGCTCTGCACTGTCAGTTCCCAACTGAGCAGAAGCACTTGCCTGCAAACAGGACTAGAGCCAAGTAAAAGTGTCTCTCTCCATCCTCCGCCCCCAAAACACAAAAAGGCCAACCTGAATCTGCTTCATTTGCTGCCATACGTGCTCATGCCAGCACAAGGGGCAGAATCGTGACAAGCAACTGGAGGAGAGGCAGAGCGAGGGGCTGCAGGGCACAGCCACTGCTGTCAATGCTCCTGAAACTTAAAGCCTTAAATTCTACCCAGGTGCAACTGAACTTTGTTAGAAGGCTTCAAGGAAATGTGCTGCCAGCTCTCCTCCCAGCAACAAGCCTGATAGGAAACCTGATCCTGTTCCCTACCCTCTCCAGCAGGATTTGTTTCATTCTAGGAACTTTAGATTATTTGCCAGGTCTCATAATCCCAGCTCTTCATATTACCCCATCAAGAACAGCCCTTCTTGTCTCAAGGGAGAATTCAACCTACAAAAAAGCCATCTAGTGCTGTGCTCCTCCACCCTATCCCAAATCAGGTGGTTTTGGATCTAGACCTTCAAATTTGATCTGAAGATCAGCTCGCCAAAATTAAATTTTATCATTACAACATAGTTATTTTTTAATCTAAATTATGCTTGCTCCTCTTCTCATCTAACGCTTGGTTGTCAGGCTATTGTTTTAAAGTCAAGGTGAGGATCCTGTTTCTTCCCCTGCTTCTCCTTTCCCTAACTGCCTTTTGCAAAATACTATTAATTAAAAGGAGAAAACAAGACTCTGAATTTTAATGCTCTTCTTTATAGCTTCTGATTTATCCAACAAGCAAGACAGATTCCTCTAGCATAACCCTTTTAGTGAATGACATCAATGTATTTCAACAGCTAAGCAGGCAGATCTATCACCTGCTACCAAAGGCTTCTGTGGGAAGGCACTGGTGTGAAACCCTGGCTGATACGAAATACAGCACCCCTACAGCCAGGACTTCCTTAGACCCATTTAACTATATCCAGCACTTGCAATAATCTGCAAGGTCTTAATAAGCCTCCCAGTGAACACTGCTGGGTAAGAAATGTTTCTCCGAACCTTTGGGCTGTCCCCGCCAGATGCATCTGCCTGCTGTTCCGATGCTGCTTTTGCGGCGTATTCTGCTGCCAGCTGCAGATCCGAGGTAATGTTGTGAACAAAACGATATCCTGAGGATCCAGCACCACGTGGACTGGCCGGGCAAGAGTTGGGAACACTGCAGGGGCAAAAAAAGGAATGATTGGTATTCATAATTTCATTTATTAACAAAGTACACGTAATTCTTACACCTAAGTTGCAATAAAGCTTCCAGGTCACTGAGAAGCAGGTGAGGGGCTTTGCCCCTGTAGCTTATTCAAAGCACAGAAAGACTGAAAAGACTGGGAGAGAGGAGAATAAATCAACAAAACTGACAACAACAAGGACCGTGACAAAAGCAGAATTCCTAAAAACTCTGACCCCAATCACCTTCTGCAATCACAAGACAACCCTAAAGAATTAAACACCTTCTCTATATGCAGGACATACATACATACATTTTCAGCTTCACTAAGGGAAGAGAAAAAAATGGAAAAAAACAACACACATAACACCGTATCAGCAATGATTTCTATATCTAATAAAAAAACCCATCTTGCAGATGTAAAGCTGATAAGACACCACTTGCCTTGTGATAGCAACAACATTTACTCAATTTTTCTACAAAACAGGGGCTACGTACAGCGTCACAGGTAAAACACGATGCCATCTGCCACAAGGGCTCCTGTCTAACAGGGCTGCCCAATGTCCCTTGGTGATGCAGGGAACCAAAAGCAGCCCCGACTACCATGAGACGATGCAGGAGGCTGCTCCTTTCCCCGATGCAAGAGGAAGAGACACTTCTAGAGCTGCAGGACAGCCACACGATGGCATCACAGGAACAGCTACGGAGCAGGAGAGCCCCGCTAAAGCTGGTGAAAAGCTACAAATAAATAAAAGGTTGGTGCAGTTTGCAGCCCTGCTCGGGCGCACACGAACAAGTGCTGCAAGATGAGAAGTCATCAGCAAGACTTGCCTGGGGATGCTGCAGCCCTCGTCTGCACGGTAGGGAGGAGAGGGGTAGGGAGGAGGGACAGGCCCTAAGCAAAGTCCCACGTTTTGGTCTTTCCTGCTTTCCATGCTCCGTGCTGAGGGCTGCAAAGCCAGGGGGATACAACGTGGAGTCAGCTCACGGGATCGCATCCGTCCTCACTATAAGGTGAGGAAATACCGAGCAGGAAAGTAAAACACACTCCAGATTTACACGGCAACGCTGGCAGCTCGATGCTATGAGATGCAAATTGAAGCCTGCAGCTGGGAATGAGAATCTAGTAAAACTGGCATAAAGAATTCTCAGCAGCAGTGCTAAACTTCATACAATAAAAAAAGGCAACAAACTGACACTCATCACAGCATTGTGATAATAATGATAATTAAATAAGAAGAATATCCACACACAAAAAGCACAGCCCATTCCTCCAAAGCCTGAGCTCTGCTGCTCCTGCGGGAGTGCCCAGCTCAGCGCAAGAGGGACTGGTTCCTTTGAGAAGGGAATTAGGGGCTGAGGGAGGCTGGGACACTGGGGAGAGGGTGATGAGATCCCAGCCACCAAACACCCCTCCAAACTTGCTGAGCTCTCGTATGAGCAGGTGTTGGGAGCTGCGTGAAACCCCACAGGACTCCAGGTACCCAGCAGCACCCTCTGAAAATCCGATACCCACCAATACTCCTGTACAGTAACAGGAATGTGGTCCAGAAGCAAGAGAGCAGCTGAAGCTTCCAGGAGGGAAGTACCCCATGTTGCTGGGCCCATATGCAAAAGCCTCCTCTGTTAGATGTAAAGGAATTTCTCGCCTAGTCTTCCAAAATGTACAGAGTTGTATGTGCAGGGAAACAAATGAAAAAGAGCTGCTCCAGGCGTGCAGCCCTCTGTGGAAGTGGGTAATGCCAAAGGGCAGAGGGAATTCTTGCTGTCTTAGTATTCATGTGGGGAGGCAGCAGGAATTTAATTATGTGTCTGTCTGTCATTTCTCACCAGCACACACTTAAGAGGAGCACTCCACAAACACACTTACAACGTGTGGATAACTGCAAGTGAAAATAATTTTCATACATGAAACAGTGGCAAACCAAAAACAACATTTCCTTTTATCTTTGTATCTGGCAGCTGAGCAATTACGGTAACACATGGCCAGGGAATGGAATAGGATGAAACAGAATTTGCCCGTTTTGTTCTTCAGCATCTGCAGAAATACGATGGCACAAGCCACAAACACAGCGGCCAAGGCTCAGGCCAAGGATATGGAAAAGAGAAGTTCTCCAGCTCCTCCAACCCCTTACCAGGCTGTATTTCTTTGCAATTTCTCAAACGAGGTTGCCTTCCAACATTGCCCCAACACACAAACACTGAGCTGATTCCTCAAGATGAGCAGAGGAAGCAACTGGCTTTTAACTGCTTAAACTCGAGCTTCTGAAGTTGATAATGTTTTAAGAAAAGCAAAGGAAATCCAGCAACAGCCTGCAGGGCTGTGTTGCTATTAGAGCGCCGACAAACCTCCTCGACCTGAAGTTTTGCTCACTTTTACAGAACTATCTAGTCTCTCCCAGCGGAGCATCGCTGAAGAACCTGATCCTCTCCTAATGAAGCAACAGTCCCACAGCATTTTTTGAAGGTTTGGGAGTGGTATCTTGCTTTTACCAGAACGGAGCACTTTCATCCAGGTAATCCTACCTCCTTTCAACCCGGATTAACGATCAAATCAAGGTGCATGGATACAGAAGGAACAAGAGGAGCTTTCAGCTGCTCCATGCAGAGCTCTTGGTCCATCATCGGAGAGTTTTTAGCAGGAATATAAGACAAGTTGCTGACTGCTGGGAAAAAAGTAAGGAGCCAGACTCTGTTCCCTCCCTCCCACTCGGATTACCCCTTTCCCCCAAAATTGCAGGACAGGAGGAGTAAAGAAACTGTTTTACTAAAAATACCCTTCTGAGGGTTAAGTTAAAATTAAACATTGGTGCAGCTTAAAGAAAACAAGCAAACACAATGAGGTGACATCAATTTCCTGGAGTTCCTGGAATTCTCCTCGGCACCCAGCACAGGGCTGGCCGGGGAAGCTTCCATGCGTTCACACCCCCTTTAAAAGTATTATGGAACAAAGACTTTTCCCCTGCAAACACCCGCATGCGCCATAAAACCAATGCAGTAAATGCGAGGACAATGATTACAATGTGTTGCATATAACTATTACATCAACAGTTGAAGAGATAACTTGATCTATTTTAATACTATAACCTTTTGCTGATAAAAGCTGCAGATAGAGATGCAATTTCATTCTGCTCTCAGACACCCAAAGGACTCGTTGCTCTGCTCCAGGCTTGCTGCCCATGCAAGCGCTCTTAGCGTGCAGGAAAGGCAGGCTAATCTGGGTGAAATTTGTTCATTACAGAAGGCAGCACTTGGGGGAGGAAGCTGATGCTTTCTCCCATTGAGAAAAACCAGAGCACACAGGCAAAGCAGCTGCACTTACCGCAACCTAAACCCCAGAATTTGGCTGTGACACCACAGCTAATGCCTCAAGTCTTGCAGGGATCTTTGATATCCGCTACGGATTCAGAGCCACAGTTCCCCAAACCTCACCCTGAGACTCACATGCAGACTTCAGAACCAGCCTACAATCATATGCTGAATCACATCAGTCCTTTGCAACACATTTTCCACTTAAAACACTTAATACTTAACCCATCCAGAGTTGTAAGGCCAGAAAGGCGAGGCCTGAACGTGGCATCTGCAATATATTCCTCCTTGCAAAGGGTAGAACACGTCTTCAACACAGAGCTTATTTCTGGCTGTTGGAGAGTTTAACAAGTCCTGCAGCATCATAATTCACTTTCAACTCCTGCCAACATGAATCTAGCCTCTTAAGGTCACAGCACTTTCTAGCAACTAATAAGTCTTTAAATATCAGCTGTTGGGGAAGATTTACAACTTACTGCTTTTCTGCTCCAGTGTCAAAAAGTGGTTTACTTTAGCTAAAACAGGATGTGTCACTGTATGCATGGAGCGTCGGTATCTAGTGTGTTCTGTTTCCTCTCCTCTCTTAGAAAGGATGCAGTGGAGCCAGAGAAAGCAGAGATTAGGGGAACTGGAACGATGGGAGAAATGGAACAGATTCCGTATGTGAAATGGTTAGTTTAAAGCCCAAAGCTGAGGTGCACTGGGACAAAGCTTATGAGACACGAGCAACAGAGAAGGTGTTTAGCTCCCGGTGTCTCTTCCAACGCAGGCACCACTGACACAAAATGAACGTTAAGGGACAGGTCTAAAACAAAAGTGCCTCTACTGAGCACATAACTACGTGCAGAAGGACAGGGCTGAAGCTAAAAGACCATGTGAAGGCTGAAAGCCATCATACATAAACACGGATGGGGAGGAGGACAGGGAATCTCTCAGGGGCTTTCTTTGACAGGAGGTCAGGAAGTCCCTGATCCAAGAAACTGGATACAGCAGTTTCTGCACAGAATATGGAAACAGCATAAAAAATTAGCATTATTACGTATTTCCCATTTTTTATACCATCCCAAAGACACCTGCTATTGAGCTTGTCTGAGACAGAATACTCGGCTAGATGGATCTGTTGCCTGAGCTCTTACAGGTAAAATACCTAAACAAGCTCTCCCAATACTAGCCACAGCTTACAGGGGGAGCAGGCAGATGTGAAACAAGTGCTTAAAAGATTTATGGTCATAAGTCTATGAACAAGCTGAGAACAGAACATGCTCCCTGACTGCACTGTCAGTTTCCCCAGGAGCGGCACTTAGGGAACGCAGGAAACTCGCCCCATTACTTAACTCCACTCTTCTCCACCAGAAAGGTATCTGCAGGGCTCAAGCTGGAGAGGTGTAACTCAAGGCAGGTATATGGACAAAGTACCTATTTTCCCTGTGACAAAGAGGAAAAATGACCTCAGATTCCACAAATAAAAAAAGCTGCCTGCCTGACTTGGAATCTGAAACAATAAAAGGGAGGGAAAAAAACCTCTCCGATTTTGTGGTTCAGGATATTGGATGCATATGGACAGTGTCTTCAAAAAAATGTCTAATGCCTGTTTGCAAAGCAAGCACAAAAGACACAGATAAGAGTTACTGTCTTGGCAATACTGCCAAAATACAGATCATACGGATTCCTGTCGGAGCAGGCTT